ACACACACACACACACACACACACACACACACACACACACACACACCTAATGACATAGAGAGAAAAAGAAAAGCATTCAGAACTTTTCAGGACACGACAGGACAGAGTGGAGGAAGTAATATTAAGGCCCTGAAGGAATGGCCTAAATCCCGTGGAGAGGCACACAGTGTGAAGTGATTCAGATAGAGTTTCAGAAAGACGGTGAGCTCCTGAGGATTACAACTGAGTGCCCTAAGGGGATGAAGACAAGAAGATAGAACACAGTTTAGTGGTCAGAAGGCGATGGGTGAGGGAGTTCTTCAGTAGAATGTAGAAGTCAGATTGATTATTTAAAATTCGCTGGCATTTATAAGACAGATGACGTGAAGACGAGACATTTTCATGTTAGAGCAACTACTCTGCCCCTGAGTGTCAGGGAACTAAGTCACTAATACCACTTGGCAAGGCTATCTTAGGCGTTCTCACACATAATTGTGTAAACCTATCCTTGAGATAATGGAGTGCCTGGTCGTCACACTTGTTACTCACACTTGTTAATACCATGAATAGAAACTGCGTATCGCTGGGTGCAGAAGTGGGTGATGTCTAGACTCACTCTCAAATCACAGCAGAGAAGTTTCTGGGTCCAAGGGCTGAGCATGTGAAACCACTCCAGTCGGTTTTTAGTCTGTCTTGACGGGCTGATGTGCTTCTCTTTGGACCCTGGATTTTTCCCATCAGTAGTGTCTTGAGAAGTAAAGGATGATAACGGGATAAAGGCTACAAGACGTGATGACAAACACCTTCATCTGCTTTCTTTTGTAAGATTAACAGCTGATAGCTATGGAAATAGAGAGATGGCAATGTCTACATCTTTTACTTCTTTATTGTTTTCTACCTCTCAAGACCCACCCATTTGCCAACCTGCTCCCGTTTAATTTCAGATGGTGTGGATAAACAGAGGTCTTTTGGATAGGAATAATGAGGCAGAAAGAATGTGGGATTTAGTTATGAATCTTTGCAGTTCCGTTGTAAATGCTATCTTCTTTTTTAGGCAATATTTTCCCTGTCAATAAAAAAAAAGATATTCAGTAAATATTATTTCTATGACATCTCTTTGGAAAAAAAAAAAAGAGACAGGATCCTTCAGTGTAGCTGAGGTGGCTTGAAAGAAAAGGGCCCCCAAAGGGAGTGGCACTAATAGGAGGTGTGGCTTTGTTGGAGGAAGTGTGTCACTGTGGGGGCGGGCTTTGTGGTCTCATATGCTCAAGCCATGCCCAGCGAGGTAGACCACTTCCTGTTGCCTGTAAGTCAAGATGTAGGACCCTTGGCTGCTTCTCCAGCACCACGTCTGCCTGCCTGTCACCATGTCCCACCATGATGATAATGGACCGAACCTCTGAACTGTAAGCCAGCCCAGTTAAACGTTTTCCTTTATAAGAGCTGCCGTGGTCATGGTGTCTCTTCACATCAATAGAAACCCTAACTAAGACAATAGCCCAGCCGGGATTTGAACTCCCAGTCCTCTTGTTTCATCTTCTTTAGGACGATGCCTACTGGTGTGGGTTACCACCATAAAGAAGTGCCCTTCAGTGTGGCCCAGGCTATCTTCAGACTTTCGGGCTTTCTGTCTGTCCCTAGTACTAAGTACCGCCATCCTCCACACTGCCATATTTAATATATACACATATGTGTAGATATTTCAACACATATATGCATGTATATGTTGTTGAAAATATTTTTTTCATATAATATATGCCCAAACAAAGCAATATGAGACAAAAAGTCTACAAAAATACTACTAAGTTAATTTTGTGTTGGCCATCTACTGCTGGGCATGGGGCCTGCCCATAAGTGTAATCTGTATACCCAGTGAGACTGCCATTCTTAAAAATTATTTTACTTCTTTTTTCCCTTTTTTCAAATCCTGTGGGCTCATAAAGACTGAGCAATTAGAAATCCCCGGTATCTGTGAGAGTCCTGACACTCATTGAAAGTAATACTGAGTGTGGAGTTAACTCTTGTGTTAGTAATGTATCTTGTTGGAACAAAATACCAGACAAAAGCCATTTAGAGAAGTAGGGTTTGTCTTGACTCAAAGTTTAAGGATGTGACAGCTTTGGGTTTTTTTTGTTTTTTGTTTTTTGTTTTTGTCTTACACTTTTTTTTTTTTTGCTTGTATATTATGGCTTCTAATTTTGTGTCTTTATGGGTTTTGTGTGTAAGTTTCTTGTGCTTCTTCTTGTTTTCTGTTATTGTTTTTGTTTTGTTGTTTTTAATTTCGGTTTGTTTAGAACTTGTTTGTTTTCTAAAGAGGGAGAAAAGGCAGGCAGTTGGATGGGTGAGGCGGTGGGGAGGATATGGGAAGAGTTAGGGGAGGGGAAACTGATTGGCATATGAGGTATGAAAAAAAATATTTTAAACAACAGGAACATAAGGTGGCTGGCCATACTGCACCGCAGCCAGGAAGCAGGGGGAGATTAATCCTAGTACGTGGCTTCCTTTTATTCAGCCCAAGGCCCCAGCTCCTGGGCTGGGTACTTTTGACAGATAAGGTGGGTCTTCCTAAATTAATTTAAACTAGATAACCCTCACAGGCGTGCCCCGAGGCTTTATTCTAGGTGATTCTAGCCTTGTCAAGTTGCCAATCAATATTAAGGCTGCGGTGAATAGGGTGGTCTGATTTGTACTTGGAAATCTTCTCCCTTTCAACTTGACAAGCAAGTCCCCACTGAGTGGATTAACAATTTAGAATAAATGAAAGAGTACCCAGGAGATTGGAGTTAAAAGAGGAGAGTGGAAGAGAGTAAAAATCATTCATTCATAAATCTTCTCATCCAGCCATTCATTTCGAAGCTACTGGTATTGCTATGAGTTAGATAATGTGCTGGGTAAGGAATGTAGAATTGCTTTGGTGAAGGACTTTCTGATACAGGAAGAGGAAGAAAAAAATACTCTTTGGAAAGGAAAAGTTTTTCCTGTAAGTCTTGGAACCACTCTGTTATTGAAGAAGAACTTGCTGCCAATCAGAGCTGAAGAGGTACAGAGGTGAAGGGATCCCAAAGTAACTTCCTGAACAGTAACAAGGGGTGGGCTATCACTGCCTACTTCCATTTTCTTCAGGAACAGTGGCTGCTCCCAGGAAGAAAGGCTGGGGGAAGAAACAGGCCTGAAGAGTTCTCATGCGGGTCTTCACGCTGAGCCGCTGCTGGGCAAATTATTTTTACCCCGCACCTGGAAGATTTTACAAGAGGGTTGGAGAAACCTCTGCCTAGCCTCTAATTAGAGACCATAAAAATGCTTAGGAATGAATTAAAATATCTTTCAGATTCTTTTAGAGAGCAATGATACATTAAAAAACAAAACAAACAAACAAACAAACAAACAAACCAGTCCTCGAGGACCATGCTTCAATTAGTGTTAATTCAACTCCAACTTGAAAGGGAAAAATTGCCCCTTGAATCACGAGCCCCAGTTTCTGTAGAAGCAGAAGTTTTCGTTTCTGAAGGCTCTTGCATAAGAATTGTTTGGCGTTAGGTGACGGCTAACAGGTTCATAGCCCGAAGAACATTGTGTCTTTGGGTTATCATAACACTGATCACCCGTCCAGCCCTTTAGCAGGGATTTCCTGGAAAATCCCCGGCTCCTAATAAGCTGTGGAGACATGTGAATGGGAAGCCTACATTTGGAAAGTTGTCTTGATGAAAAGAAAGCGCAGCGATGACGGAACCCAGGCATGTCCGTGAGTTGGCAGAACTGAGATAATGTTGGTTGTGTTGACAGTTGACAATCAGAGCCAAGGACACCATGCCTTTGAGACATTTGCTCTGAAGCTGGGAATAGCTTTTGCCTGGTGCACTCAGGGGTACTGGCAGAAGTGATAGTCTGCCCTGGATCAATAAAAAAAGACACAGCCCTTACAGGATTCAAAACTTCGGCTGGCTCCACTCTTGGCCAAGCTCTCGCCACCAAGATCTGCTCAGGGTTATTGGAGCCAGTCTGCACAGGTCTGGGGTAGCGATGAATCAGTACTTGTAAGGTTCCATAAGCAGCAAGGAACCAGAAATACTGGTTTTCGCCGAGTCTTGGAGATTGAAGGACTTGTGTGACCGACTGTAACAGCAACTTCAAGTCCTCTCTGGGAAGAGGCGGGGCTTATAAACACACAGAAGGCAAACATACCTGACTCAAACGGAAGTTCGCGGCACTGGTTTGATAGGGTAGTCGTGCTTAATTCAAGAGCATTGAAAATGAATTGAGGTGGGTGTTATGTATTTTAATAAAACAAAATAAAACCCTGCCCGTTAATAGTGATTAGTGTATTAGACACTTAGAACATGCGCTTTTAAAGTCTGTTTTAAAATAACCCAGTATTGGTTGTGAAATTATTCTACCAATTCCTCACCTTCAAAGCCAGAATTCTCGTTTTTAATTAAAACTTCTTATTCTTTGATAGTTTCATGCCACGGAAGAAAATTACTCCCTCTCCTCCAGCAATAACGAGCTATCAACATTCCCTCAGAGAGAGGTGGTGCCTCATGAGCCCTTCTTCTACTCAGGAGAGAGTGTAGATGGGCCTTATCTTGTGCTGATCTTGTGCAAGTAACCCCAGCCGCTGGGTGTCCATGAATGCAACGGCCAGGTCACGTCTAGAAGACAGCGTCTCACAGCATCCATCCCCAACCTCTACCTCCTACAATCTTTCCACTTCCTCCCTGAGCCTTGAAAATGGTGATATAGATGTTCCATTTAGTGCTGAGTACTCGGTCACTTGTTCACAGTGCCTTGAACAGTTGGGAGTCTCTGTATTAATCATCACCCACTGCAAAGGGACGCTTCTTGACCAAGGCTGAGAAAAGCACTAATCTATGAATAGAAACATAAATATTTAGGAGACAGTTTGAAAAGATGCCCATGTATTAAGACAACAGTGGTGGGTCCCCTCCCTTCAACCCCGAGAGCCCGTGGCCTTCCCAACCATGGGCTTTTGACCAGGTTTATAATTCTAGGGATTCCGTCCTGTGAAGCCTAAATCCGAAGAGAGTGGTTGATTTACCCCACAAAAGTCATGCTACTATTGCCCTAAGGGCACATCTCGTATGGTAGCTTGGAGGGTTCACAGCGGGGTGAGTAAGACTGTGATGACTCTTCTTCCCTAGACTTCATAGCATCCTCCTGAACAATGAAAACTAGCCAGCGGGGGAAGGTCTCTTTAAGAAAATCTGAGTTTCTATAAATTTATCTTTCCCATTAAAAAAAAAAAGACATAATGAATTACATACATTTTTTCCCCACATTTCAAGCAATTCTTATTTTAAAAAGAGTACACAAAGATGTCGGTATTTGTTTTCTTCATGCTTTGGTGAGTGATAAGCAAACTGATAGCTCTGGTGCCTGGTGTGGGTGCTGTCCACTTCCTGGACCGATAGGGCAGCGGCTGTCATTTCATGCATAGCACACAGATTCCTGGGATTAGGGCTATGAAAGCTGATCTGTGGGAGCAGAGCTTTCTGGAAGCATGTGCGGCAGGCACATTAGCCAGTCTGACGGGAGAGCTGACGTCTACCCTCTGCCTTCCACTCAGGGCAAAGAGAAGCAGATGCTGTCGGAGGGCCGTCTCATGCTCCATTGTAAGCACGAAAGGCAGAGCCAGTGGTGCCCATGATCATCAGTTGCCAGGATCCCGGACAGCCACAAATTAACCCCTGTAAGGCATTTGAATACTTAACCGTATTTTAAACGGAAATAAGCCCTTAGAGGTTGCGGTTGCACCCCGACGCCCACCCCTCCCTGTAGTAGGCTAGGAATGGGGAGAATTGAAGTGAGCACTTTTTTTTCTCTTTGCGTACTGTTTCCATTTCTAGAACAGCTTCCATATAAATAAGTACTGCTATTCCCAGTACACTTAACACTGATATTTCAGTTGGCCTAGTCATTTCGGAGTTTAAAGCAGTTAATATTCTGTTAAGCCTCAGTCAAAGATGCCTGGTACTTGAGAACTAGAAATGGAGGATGTGGGGAACAGCTAAGATCCTTACAGCTCATCCAAACACGTATGTCTTTTCTCTCCTACTTAACGGCTCCAGTTTCACCCAGCTGTCAACTAATGGGCATGTCATCCAGATAGCTTACCATGACTCACTGAATTTCAGATGTGGGTCTGTGAAGACTCAGTTTTCTTTACTTTATAAAAAAAAATGTGTCTGTGTGAATGCAATCCATGTGTGTGCCGATGCCCACAGAGGCCAGAAGAGGATGTTGGATCCCCTAGAACTGGAGTTACAGATGATTATGAGCCGCCACGTGGATGCTGGAAATTGAACCCAGGTCCTCTGCAAGAGCAGCCAGTGCTCTTAACCTCTGAGCCATCTCTCCACCCCTGTTTTTTTGAAACTTAACATGTGTTATTGGTTGTCTGAAACATTTCGGTAATATGTGAGAATCCTTATTTTTAATTAGGAGTCTGTAACGATACGGCAGTGAAAGCTAGTGATGAAACAGCCACTCACTAAGGTCTTTCTCTGCTCTTGCCAATGCCAGTCCTGAGGAACACACGCAAATTACGCAATTCTTCTGTGTGGTGCCAGAGAAGAGGGGAGGATTTCCAAGTTGGGCCAAGCTGGGCTGTTTGGGTTAAGTGGTGAAGACAGGAATGCTCTTTTTAGAAAAACAGGCACTGATAGGATGCTTGATATGTTTTCCAACCTATGCATTTCCCATTGGAGGAGCACTGGATCCCTTGGCTGGGCGGGGCTCCTCTCTGAGTCTCAGAAGCTGAAATAACAAGCAATGTCTGGCAGAGTGATTTTCCACATTCGCCCTGTTTAAAGGAAGAAGCTTGTTCTGCTGTAAACAGTGATGGGAACTGTTTGCTTTGGATGGGCTTGGTCCTTATGAGCCAAAGAGTGCCTTCTTAGTCTGGGTTCTTGCCAGTGTTAGAAACTGGATGCCGAAGGCACCCTGGTCCTGTTAGGGCAATCTCTAACTATAATATGTTTGATCCAAAGAAAGTGTGCTGGAGCAGCAGGCACAGTGGTCTCGGCTTGAAGCTAATTGTAGTTGGAACCAACCGCCAGCATGGAGCAGAGTTCACGGTCACCTTGGTTAGACGATGACTTGGATTCTATTTTCATACATCTCTGATTAGAGAAAGCTTTATTAGGAGACTCTGGTGTGCTTTGGTGGAATCCCTTTGAGTGTTTTTAGATTCCTTCATGTCTATTACAAGGAGATGACAAGCATTCTGGGTGATTTGACCCAGTCTGGAGCGCGCAGCCAGTGCATGGGTTTTTGAATGAGTGTCTGGAATGAACTGGGATGGCTTTGGAAGTCAGTTCTGCATTTTAGTCATTTGAGTGATTGCTCCACTCAAGAGCTGATGACCCAGTTAATGTTGTAGTTCCAAGCACAGGCTCTGGAGACAGACTGGCTTGACTTTGAACCCAGCCTCTACTAATTATTTGGCAAGTGACCTTGGACAAATTGCCCAAGTTCATTATGTCCTCTGCTTCTATCAAACAGAGGCTGTTGTGATGTTTCAGTGAGAGAATGTGTACAAGGCACTTGGAATCAGATCCACTGCCAAGTATGTGCTCAACATATATTAGCCATTTTTTCCCTCCTCTTGAAATTACAAGTGATGCCACCTAACTACTATCCTTCTGGTTAGAGAGGGACTTATAAGACAGTGGGAAACTTGTGGATGTGTCAAATGTCCATCTTAACTCCCAGGTTTATCCGTATCTGTGCACAGTAGCAACAGAGGGACCATTAAGTGCTCAAACGTCCATGAAAGCTTTTCTCAGAAGAGATCTTTCTGGCTGCATGCTATTAGCGGGATCAATTCTATGCTTACTACCGCTCTGTCCTTTGGCTGTTTTGAATACAAGCTGTGCTTATTATAGCTGACTCTTATCCAGAGATGGTTGTATGCCAATCATATAGGATGGTTGGCAATGATCTAGGGAACAGTCATTTTCCGTGTGCAAATCATGATTGACTAAGTCTATGTATTCTCTCAGGTGAGAGGCAGGACATAAAAGAGCATGGGGCAAGTGGGAGGTGGGGGAAGGGGGCATTAATAAGTAGCAGACCATTCACTGCACAGATATTTCCTGTGTCTCAGTCTCCTATGACCTCAGTTACTTTTTAAAGTTACTCACTCACAGCTCTGGGTATGAGCCATACCCTAGCTTCTACCAGGCTGTCTTAGTCAGTGTTCTATTGATGTGAAGAGACACCATGACCATGACAACTCTTTTTTTTTTCCCCATTTGGTTTTTTGAGACAGGGTTTCTCTGTTGTAGTTTTGGTGCCTGTCCTGGATCTTGCTCTGTAGACCAGGCTGGCCTCGAACTCACAGAGATCTGCCTGGCTCTGCCTCCCAAGTGCTGGGATTAAAGGTGTGTGCCACTGCCGCCCAGCTCATGACACAACTCTTATAAAAGAAAGCATTTACTTGGGACTTGCTTACAATTTCAGAGGTTTAGTTCATTATCCTCATGGCGGGAAGCATGCCGGCACATAGGTAAACATGGTGCTGGAGGAGTTGAGAGTTCTGCAATTGGATCTGTAGGCAGCAGGAAGAGCAAGAGCCCCTGGGCTTAGCTTTGACTTCTAAAACCTCAAAGCCCAACCCTAGTGACACACCTCCTCCAAGGCCACGCCTACCCTAACAAGGCCACACCCACTCCAACAAGGCCACTCCCTGAGCATTTAAATATATGAGCCTATGGGAGCCGTTCTTACTCAGACCACCACACGGATGCGGCTTGCCTTGGGTATCGAATGCCTTCTGCTGTACTGCCAAGCAGATTATGCTAACCAAGTCCAGTACTCCTTTTGCTTCTTCTGTCACGGACCCTGTAGCTCCGACTGTTTGTGCATTCATTATGGCAGGCACCCACTCATTGATTTGTTAGGCATTTATGATATTAAGGTTCCCTACATGCTAGGCATTGCACTAGGCACTGGGGATTTGGAGATGACTCAAGTCCTTGATAGCCACAATGGTATCTTAGACTCTAGAGGGAACAGAAATACAGATGGAACAGGACAAAGGCCACAACATGGTGTGGGGTCGTGTTGACAAATCAGGACTTAGAGTCTGAATGTTTGGGTTCATGCTCATCACTTGAGGGCTGTGTGATCTTGGGCCAGTTCTTTAACGGCTCCGTGCCTAGTGTGCTTATTTATAAAATGGTGACTGTCATTGTGCCAACCTCATAGGGTCATTGTAGGCACTGATATTTAAGGATATGCAAAATGCCTGAAACATAGTTAGTACTATGCATTATGTATTGGTTAAATTAATGAATAAGTGAGTGATAAAAGAAATATAGCACAGGTATTATGGGAACACATAGTCCAATCAACAAGATTAAACTTTCACATCCATTTAGCATTGTTCCAGATTTGGGGACATCTTTCAATTTAGGAAGATATAAGAGAAGTGAGTCGAGCCAGAGTTTGACTGTCCGCGCCATTGCAGTGTTAGTGCAGGCCAGCCGGTCCTAAATCCGCTCTGCATTCCCAGGAACGAGCCCCCGCGCGTCTGTTCCCCAAACTTCCACCTGTGTCTCTATAGCAACACCTGGACCTCTGTCCCATTTTCCCAGTCTCTGCCTTCGTTTCTGGTCAAGTCTTCCGTTCTTCAGGAGTCTTGCCTTGATATTGCCAAGCTGCCCTTGCGTTCTGTTGTTCACCGCTTCCAGGCTCCAGCCTGCCGGTCATCAGATCTGCTTGCTGTCTGGATTTCTATACAGTACTGGCTCTAGGCTTCCGCGCGGCTAAATCCTCTGACCCGTTCTGCCCCACCCTCCTGCTATTTTTACTCTTCTGACACTATGCCCTACCCACTCACTGCTCTCGTCTTTTCCGTTTGCCCGCCCGCTCAGGGGACAGTGTTTAGTGTCTGGTCTTATCTAGATGACTCGTCCTACCCCCTTTTACTCTTCCCTCCTGATGGGTGGAGGAAGCAAGCGAGAAGGGCTGAGTCAGACGCTCCTGCTCTGCTAACCAGTTGAGGAATTTCCGGGTGTGTGTGTGTGTGTGTGTGTGTGTGTGTGTGTGTGTGTGTGTGTGTATCAGGAGGTCGCTGTAAGAAATAACTGTGCTTAGGAGGGAGTTACTAAATAAAGTTTGCTACTCGATGTGAGGGGTGGAGGGGAGTGTCTTTACTTGATGCTCAGGTTAAGAAAATTTTCTTAGTAATTCTAGTTGTCCCACACCTGGGTATATACCTGAAGGACACTACGTCAACCTATTCCAGAGTTTGATACTTGCACACATCTGTTTATTGCTGCGCTATTCACAATGGCCAGGAAGCCAGCCAAGATGTCTCTCGACAGACAGATAATGAACATGTGGTATACACACAATGAAATTTTGTTTAGTCCTATAGAAAAGTGAAATAATATTACTTTTAGGAATATGTGTAGAACTGACAATCATTATGTTAAGTGGATAAATCAGACTCAGATGACAAATACTGCCTGTTTTCTCTTCTATGCAGAGCCTAGGCTTGAAATTATATATTGATATATGTGTGTGCATGTGCAGTGTGTGAATGCGTGTGTGTGTGTGTGTGTGTGTGTGTGTATACATGTGATGAAACTGGGAAGGGAATCATGAGGTCTGGAGGGAGGCAGGAAGTGGAGAGGGTAATGGGTACATGTTAAGAAGAAAGACAATTTAGAGTGGTGGTTT